GCAGCAGCGCGGCGGTGGCGGCTGCTCGTCCTAGCCTGGCGGGGGCGGGGGTCTGGAGGATGGGGGCGGGTGGAACAACGGGCCGGTGAGGAGCAGCCGCCACCGTCTCCGCCGTCGCTTCGGTAGCCGCCGCGGTGGTCGCTTCGGGCAGCCGTTCGCTCTCGGGGCGTCGCCTCCCATCCCGACATCCCGCCCGGAGGACGCTGAGGCTGAAGCGCGGCCGGCGGCTGGGGGACGGTCCGGCCCCTCAGCTGCGCGGGCGGCCGCAGTGACAGCCCGGCCCCAGCCCGCCGCCCGCCCTCGCCCTCGCCCTCGGTGCCCGCAGCCACGATGAACCGGGGCAGCAGCAGCCCGTCGGCCGCCGCCAACTACCTGCTCTGTACCAACTGCCGGAAAGTACTGCGGAAGGTACGGGCTCGGCCTGGGGTCCGGCCCGAAAAGGGCGCTTCCTGCCGGCTGCGGCTCGGGCTGCTCGGCCCCGGGGCGCACTCTTGGAGCAAGGCTCAAAGGGATCCCGGGGCACCTTCCCTACGCCGAGACCCAAAAAGGGGGCATGGGTTGAGAGTGGAGGGTTTAGCCTGCTGCTGCTTTTGATGTCTGCCGGGACAGACGCTAGTCCCCAGGGGTTGGGGATTTGGGGCCGCGGGGGGGGCGGGGGGACCTGTGGTCTGTTCCTCCGTTCACCTCCTTACCTTGCCACCCCCGGCCTGCTCCCAGGGCGGAGGGAGGGACGGACCTGTTCGATCCTTCTCCCAGTGCTCTTGATGGAGGTCGGTGTGAAATCAGAACTGCTTGGTCTGGTCCAGAGGAACCTGGCTCCCTCTTTGCTGTGCCTAACTCTTGCGGGTGTTGTTTTTGTTTATTCGGTTGCTTCTGCCTTCCTTGCACGCTTTCCCCGAACACTCCCTTTTTACATTCTTTGGATGGTCGTCTTGTGGCTGCAGTTCGATCCTGAAAGGAACTGGTAAAGCAGCTTGAACTTTATGCCCATGGGAAATGCTATTCGACGTTACAGTTTCTCAAGCTGGGGTTGGGGGAGGTGGAGACTGAGGTGGACGTGAGTTATCCCTTTTTAGCACTTACTCATCCTCAGCCCCCCGGTGTTGCTCCAGAAAAATCAGACGCACAATCAGCTTATTGCTTCCCAGAGTGACTGATAGAAAGTTTACTCCAGTATTGTTTAGCTTACTTGGCTTAGTCGCTCCGTTAAGGGGGGTGGGGTGAGGGGGCTGTGAAAAGATGTCGTTTTAGACCGAGAAAAGCTTTTAATCAGACTTTAACAGCCGCCACTGGGTAATATTATAATCAGTTTATTCTTCTCGAGACTCTATTTTTACATTTCATTAAGTGGAAACAGTAGTTGAGGTGCTTCTGTTTGTCCAGTACAAATGAATTAAAATTGCTGAGCTGTGCAAATGCGTCGGGACTGAAAGACTAAGATGAATACTGCACCGTTTTTAGTCAATTTCTCTAAATACAGTTCAATTGGGATTGTTCTTTATATATTAAAAAAAGAAAGAAAGAAAGAAAGAAAGCATGTAAGTAAGCAAGCTCAAATATTTGCGCTCTTTGTCCAAAAACTGTTTTTCTTCCTCTGTGGGTCAGGCCAAGTGCCAATCAAAGTTGTTTTTCAAGCCTCTTTTCCCTGCAGTAGGGCTGCTGCTTCCCCCCCCCGCCCCCCCCCATTTTATTTGAGAGCACGAAGAAAGCAAAGGGGTTGCATATTTGAAGTTAATCAAACAGTGAAATATGCCTTAAATTGTGTTTATCGGATATGTTTTTCTTGAAACAGATTTTTATTAAATGTGCATGTTGAGTATGTGCAGTTATTTTTTTCCATAAACTCGGGGATCAAATTACAGTTGATACTTGCTCAGCTCATTGTAGGGCAGCTCGTGAGAAATGTAATGGATCAGAAGCGCAGAGCAGCTTAGTTGAATGTTAACTCTTTCACTTCTGGGCCAGATGGCATCTGAACTTAGCTTTTTAAAAAATGATGATGATGATGATTTTCCAACTTTAAAAGTGATGTTATGTCTTTAACATGAAAAAAAAAAGTGTTGTTGAGACATGTTTGATTAAACTAAAGCCTGGTTTAAAAAAAAACAGCTAATTTTTTTTTTTAACTGAATAAGGGGAAAATGAGCTGTATTGACTTGGATTTTTTTTAATGGCTCTGGCAATTTGGTGGACTAATTAAATTTTTGGAGGTAGTATTAAGTTTCAAAATCTATTTTTCTTTTGAGAGAACCATGGCTGTGGATCCATGACCCTTTGCTAGCTTTCAAGACATCTTTATATCTTTCTCTTAGCTTTTAAGAAACTATTTCTATTTACCTAGAAGGAACATCCTCATTTCTAGCTATTATTAAAAGACAGAGGTAGTATATGGAAAATGGATAGTCACCATTTTCATATCTTATAATTGCTATGCACACCTCTGCTAATTCCCAGTTTTCAGTAACTCCAAGGTATTTAATATTGATTCATGCAGTAGCATGAAATAACTTTAGATGGAAATGGGATTGTTTGAGCCAGTTATGGCATGACTTGGCAGGCATTTGTAGCTTTTTAAGAGTGCCTTAAGTGCTCTTAAAAGATATCAAGTGTTTAGCATTTTAAGTTCTTCATCATTCTAAAAATAGCATGTAAGAGTTTTCTAATAAAGAAATGGTTTTCTTTTTGATAGAAAGTATATAACTCTAAGCAAAATTCATCTATAACGCTCAAAATGGGATTCTCTGGATTTATCTTGTGTTTTCCACTTAATAAAGTGTTCAGTAATAACCGTGTGAGTCACAGCATTTTGAATTTTAGTTCAGTGTAGTTCATGATGGAAGAATGAAAATCATGCACATCCAGTGTGAATTACTCTTTGCTGTTATAATCCTAATTAATGATGGAGGAAGAGTTACCTTTATTTATGTGGCATGACACCTTTTTCTCTAAATGGCTTAATTTGTTGCAATGTATTGAATTGGGGGGGAACTTCAAAAAGAACTGGATTCACCTTCAAAGAAAATAATTTGGTTCAACCCAACATCTGAAAATTTAATTGTATATTGTATGAGAATTACATTTATTCTTAGAAGTACCTTCATAATTTTGATTCAGTGTCTACCAAAAAAAAAGAGACTTTTTTACGTATTAAATATACCTAATTTGGTAATCTTAGGTCAGTAAAAAGAATGGAGAGGTAAACCACATAGGGAAAGAAATGAACAAACAAAACTCTCCTCAAATCTATAACTCCTACTTATTCTAACTTGCTCTGTTATCAAAAATAATTCAATAAAGGTTTTAATAAAAGAGGAAATGTTTCTATTTACTTTGGAAAAGTTAATGAGTTGTGAAGTGTAATACATTTTACTTGAAGAAATTCCACTGACAACTAGATAAATTTCAAAGTGGAGTGCCAAACTGCATTAAGAAAGGTAGGTAACTCTCAGTCCACTCATCTTCCAATAAATAAAAGGGTGCATATTACAATGTATTTTGAGTATTGAGCAGTTAGTGCTACTGAAGTGAATAAAACTCTGCACTTTAAGTTAGAGGATTTACCACTTTATAATTCTTAATATGTTTAGGTAGTTCCAGTGATTTATCTTTGTTGGATATTGCACTTTTTCCCCTTTGCTTATATGATCACTTATTTTGACAACTTTTTGATGAGTGAAGAGACTGGGAAAATAAAATGGGAAGTATTAGTTTAAGCCATATGAACCTCATTTTTATAGTCAAAATTGTCAGTTAATAGCAGTTTTATATGGTTCAACCAAAAGAATCGTATTGCTTTGACTGTGGATGAGTAGCTGTATTTTTCTTTGGTTAATCAGGTTTCTTATGTACATATTTTTGATTGTCAAAAGTAGTTTTTTATTTGGTTTTATCTGAAAATGAACTAGACAGAGACCAAGCAGTGAATTTATGACAGCAAGCCATTATGCAGTGGTTTTCAAACTGCTTTTTACGGAGCCCTAAGATGCTTCAGTGTTCAAAAATACTTGAGTTGGATTAAATTTTAAGTACTTTTTAAAATTACAATTTAAAAATACAACCACCCAAAAATCTTTTGTTACGAGACTATTCTTGTGCCGGCCTTGAATTAAAATTTATTCTGCTCCCTTTGTACATATACTTGAACATTTTTGTTAATAAGACATTGATCAGAAAGATTGTCATTGATTATGAAGGCACTGGCCTTTAAAAAAACTTCCTTCCTGTGCATATCTACTCATGTTCAATTTTCACTTGTGAGAAAAACTTATCAGTAATTGTTCATTTATAACTAAAACACTTATAAAAACGCTTTTGTGTATTTATGTGTTTCATAGTTCAGATTCAATGTAAGGTTTCATTTGTAAAGGGATTCTACTGCTTCTATAACCTCCCCACCACCAAATAAATAAACTGCTAAAATATAACTGCAAATGTAGTGATACTGGGAGTCACAAGATATGCTCATCATTAGGTCTTTGATAGGTGTTTGAATTTTGGGCAAGTTAGTTAACTTCTTGCAGCCTAGTTTTCTCTGTAAAATGTACATCATTTCTACTTGCCTTGCAGGTTGCTGCATAGC